AATTTCAGAAATATTAATTGAATTATTTGAAAAATAGACTATAAACTTTTTTACAATCATAGTTTAAACCTCGGTTACGATTAACCCACTGATTTTAAGTCCGAATTTGGAGGTTTAACTTCTTTTAGTTTTTTTCAACTTATATTGAAAAAACCAGTTTTATATAGGTAGGTACAATGAAATTTCCAATAATATTTACTCATTATAAGTTACGTACATATATAGGCATTTTAAATTTTTTAAAGTTGTCATTGTTTTTTCTAAGGATGAGGTAAACTCGACGCCTACTATAACGACACTTCCCCAAAACCATTCTTTTTTATGTATTATGATTTATGAATATGAAAAAGTGATACTGTGATACCCCCTGCTTTGATATAAAATGGCATTAACTCATAGGCTACATAACATTATATGAAATAATTTTATAATAAATGCGATTTGTCTTAAGCAAAAATTAGTTCAGCGTACCGTATTACTAATAGAAAAATAAATAACTAGGTAATTGCAATATAAATATTAAACATATTATAAAATATCATTTAAAATATGGGCTGAAGCCTGACAGACAGCCTCCGTTCAAAATCGTTTTTCATTCTATACAATGACGTATCATTGAAGTTATCGTTTAAAATAATATCCATTACAGTTACCTACTCAATGACAAGATAGGTACACTCGACAACTACTAGGTCTAAGCAGGGCTTATCAGTTTTTTTATTTTTGTATTATGAATACAAAACGTGATACGGTGATACTTTCTACTTTAATATAAAATATTATTAACTCGGACTACCTACGTACATAATATATTATATTGATTATCAAATACAGTAAAACTCCCAAATTACGAAGCCTCATTAGCAACAACAAAAAATTCGTGTTTTAGAGAAGTTCGTGAAATATAATTAAACATGGTTCTAAAACAATATTTTGTTAAACGGAAACTGTCGTTAAATCTGCCTTTTATTGCAATGAAGATGAATACAATAATAACTAATGTTGATTTTAGGTGTATGATTTATAAAACCATTTTACCTTTTCTTCAGAAATAAAATCGTATTGTGATAATTTTTTTTTAAGATATCAAATATAAAATTGGCCTAGTATTTTTATATTTTTAATACAATAAAAAGTGCCATATTTTGGCCTTTTAATTCTTTAATTTTGTACCAAGTCATTAAAGATGTATTTTCTATGTTTAAATAAACGTATTTTTGACAATTCAACATTTTAAAAAAAAAATTGGTACCTACACTTAAGTGCACTCGAGGATATACTACACATATTTTTTCTAAATAAAATTGAATTCATCATCTGATATTTACGGAGATATTTATTACCAGAAGAAAATTCTTATCTCAAAAATCATTATTTGAAAAAATGACGCAAATATATAAACACAACATACACAAACCCAAACCCTTGATATGTGGGAAAGTTATAATCAATTAATTTTGAATTAAAATATAATATTATTGTTTGAAATATTACATAATATCATACATTCATACCTAATATTATTCGTCAGGTTAATGATGAGAGGATTACCTTAATACATTTGTTGATGGGGAAAGTTGAGCAGCTAATGAATATTTTATTATCATAATAGCTGGTTACATTTCACATCTCATTAAAAAGTACAAAACTTTGTAACTTAAATTCATGATAAAGATACCTAGTTTATATTTGACTAGTTAACTATAGAAAAGCAATTATTTAATAAGATGTAGTATTTGAAAGAATATTTACAATACTGTAATAGGTAATTTGCTTTATATTTACATCAATTATTTCTTATCTGTAAATAGATAATCTGAATACTCACTTTAAATCAATATGTGACCTATTGACTTTAATCAATTCCCAGATAAGAAAAATTATATTTAGAAGAATCAGTCCCATAAATACAAATCTATCACTCAGATTGAGTACTATAGTCTATAATATAGATTAAACAAATAAATTATATTATTTAATTAAGTTTGCCCTAATAATTTTTAAGATCATGAAAATTGTTAATTTTGATTCAAATGATATACTTACTAAACGGTACCTACTCAATTTTAATATTTCATACTTTTAAATATTACAATGACATGAAGACATACAGTAGGGATACTATTATTAATGATAAATGTCATTAAAATACAACTAGTTTTAGGTAGATTACTGATGACCATGACAATTTATTAGTTACCTATTGCATTTCCTTGACAACTCATAATAGTGTAGTTAAACAAGTTATTACATAGGTAGTTTGTACTAGCTAGGATAAATTTAAATCAGTTCATGATAATATGCTAGTCATATTCATATTGTATAGCTGACAATAGTCAAACTGTTGACCTACATAAATGTATCCACATCTAGGTAGGTAACCATTTTAGTTTAATGTGTATACAGATTTAGGAAACATTTTACAAACTAACAAAACCAATCAATATTCCAATTGTAATAATATCAAATCCTTACCTCGCATAAGTCACGTACAATAGCTGAAACACATATTGCTCCTCGTCTGCGCAGTGCATATTGGGGTACCGTTATATCTAACGGCAATTTAGGAACCATCCTAATGAAACGCATTGATCCTATATGAAAGTGGAAAAGTGAGTTGTTTGTTTGATTTACTTAAATGTAAAACAAACTAATAACAAATAACTAGGTGATACATATTTTCATTTTGTATGTGAGGCAGTAATTCAGAGAAAACAAAAATCGAAGTAGGTACAATTTATAACAAAACAACATACCTTGAACTATATTATGTTATACTCTGAAACAAGACTCTGATCCGATTTCAAATTTCAAATTTCTATTATTTTCACCACATTTTTATACAGTTAAATCACTTTAGTTGTTGTTCGTAACAATACAATATTTATTAATTTATTATTTTTCAACCAAAGTTTTCGAATGTCGAATAGATTTTTGAATGTTCTAGCGGGAAGTAAAGAGACAGAAACCAAACCGAAAAAAGAAACAAAATCACCCGGAAATATTAGGTATTACGAACGTAGAACGTAGAACGTAATAAATAATAATAACGTCAGGTAGTCGTTAGCAGCAGTAATTCACATTACTCTATAATAGTTAGGTACCAAACACAACATTTTAAATAATATTATTATTTAGGATAACATTATTGCTATCAGGACAGGTGGCCAGTCGTGCACGTTCCGCTGTACTACTATCACTGGTTTTGACGTACAATTGATGGGAATTACACGTCCTGTTTGCCTGGCCCCACTGGTTGTTATCAACGCGATCACAAATCACAATACCGTCGTCTTATCGTGGTGTGTACTGTGTTGTTTAAAAAAAAATACTTATGAATTAATGAGGTTGTACTCGGTGTCTCTTATAAAAATTTAAACCTTTTTTTCCGAACGAACGTCATTTTCTACCCTTCATCAGAATGCTGTGAATCTTGACACGATTTCAATGGTCACTAACAAACGCCGGTCTCTATGACGGTTTCCAAACATTCAACTTCCAGATAATGTTCCAGATAAACAAGTGCCTTAAATTTCACTGGTTTTGGTAAGTGACATCGATGATCATATAATTCAATCATTCCACCCTAAAATGATATGTTCTTTTCGGTACGGGTTTTTTGCAGAAGGGTAGTTTAACATACAATTCCAATTTAATTAGTAAACCACAATTGACAATCTAAATGTGATTGATCAAACTTTTTTCATTTAAACAGTGGATATTAATTTTAAGTACATCATTGGTTGTTTACACCAGAGTAATTTAATTTTGGATGTTATGAAAATGTAAAAACATTTGTACAAATGGGTACAGTAGGTACATTTCATAACTATTTTTAGTTTTTATTTTGAATTAGTTAGGGAGGTAGGTACCTACCTAAAATATAAAATCTGTATATTTTTCAATTAATATTTCAGAATAGGGATTTTACAAATTAAATATGTTCCCAAATAATGTGTTTCAAAACTATGTTATTTTGTGTCGAACTTACCAAATATTAAATCATACCCAGGTAGTTGTACCTATAATATTTTATAACATTACAAGGTAATAACCTAAAGTAAACAAATTTTAAAACATATTTTAACTTCAAATTAGTATAATCAAATGTGTTAAATTTTGGTTGTAAGCGATGCTAGTAACTTACTTAATTTCCAACTTCATAAGATAATATTTATTAAAATTAAGTACTCAATTAGATTTTACATTATTTTCATTTTGAAAACAAATTAGTGTTAGTTTATTTTAAAAAAAATGTCTTCTCTGATTTTGTTTCATATACTAGTTAGAAATGTTCCAAGTCTTTGAACTACCTGCATTATGTTATTGGAATATTATGTTATTTACAAAGTTATTTATGCACAAGCTGATTAGATCCCCAAAATTAGCCTGCGAATATCCCCTTATAACAATCATCCCTGTGACGTTTTTAAAGCATTCTACTTAACCTAACCTGTTGTCATCAAACTATCAATACACAATTATAGGGACCTACCTATTATTTATTAAAAATTGTTAGTTTAATACTTTTATAATCAATAGTTTTGCAGCATAATATGGAAATAAATTTAAGTATCCAAAACCCAAAGAAATAATATTATGAAGAATAAAACTCAATAAGTATTAAATTTAATAAAAATAACTTTATTAAGTTGTACTAAAACTTGGATGATTCTTTCATAGTCGTATGTTTATTAATAAAGTGTATAATATCATGTTACGATAATGTTTTTCTTTTTACTTAATTTTTCATTTGTGAAGTTATTATTTTCTTATAGTTTAATCTGTGGTCGAATTGTCATAATCATAAGTTAAACATTTTGTCTTTGAATTTAATTTAAAGTGAAGTTAAAAAGTTTTTTATTTTTTGTTTTAATTTTAATTGTTTTGTTTTTAATTGTTTCAGACACAACATACCTAATAACTAATTAGGTAACATCTAGCTTATTAATAGCCTAGAAGTAATTTAAAAGTTAGTTAAAAAAAATAGCTATATAAACATGATGAGTATTAGTAAACCAAAACCCATTAATCCAGATACTCCTTTGACACTGATTAAAGACATTCAAAATAATGTAAACAACATAACTGTTATGTGCATAGTATTAGAAGTAAACCCTGCTGTCCAGCTCAAAGATAACCATGAAGTTCGAACAGTGAAAGTAGCTGATAGTTCAGCATGCATCAATTTTTCCGTCTGGGATGAACCTGGTTCATTTTTATATCCAGGTGATATAATACGCGTTCACAGAGCTTATGCAATTTACTTTAGAAACTGTCTTACTCTGTATGTTGGTAAGAATGGTGAAATTGAAAAAATTGGTGATTTTATCATGACATTCAATGAATCTATCAATATGAGTGAAATAAACCTAAATGCACCTCCACCACAACCACCTCCAGGATCCAATGGAAATGCAATAAGTAACGCAAGACGGACAGGAGTAGGAAAACAAAATATGAAACCAAATACATTCAAAGGGAACAATGGAAAAAGTGGACCTAGAAGTCAAATGAGACCAGAAAGAAAATAATAGGTACAATAACTGAATAAACTTGTTATACAATTGTATTGTATGAGTTGGTGAAGAAATTCTGTGATATTAACTCATTTTTGACCCTATTTTAATTATTCAAGTTTTATATTAAACTGTAATTAACTATGTGACATCCTTATTTTACAAAAAAAAAATTCTAAGTAATAAATGTGTATTTTTCTTAAATTCCCACTGTCAATTATTTGATTATTAGGCTGTTGTCCTATGTTAATATGTATGTCCTTATGTTTTGAGTATTTTATAATATTGTTAATATTTATAACTATACTATTTAGTATTTATGTCATGTAAATAGTCAACCTAAATGCCTATTCAGCATTTAATTACACTGTTATGTACAATTTACAGAAATTTTCTTGAATAATAATATAATAGGTAGGTACAAAACTAAGATGTTTATTTTGAATACCTAATATGTAATATTATACACATGCATGTTATGCATATTATATCCAGTAGTGGGATATCATACATTTTTCATTCACACCATGAAAAGTAGTATTGCATACAATTTAAATTACTGTATGCCATGAAGATTATATATATTTTTTGAATTTTTTCTCTTTTACCTACCTGCCTATAATTAAATGAGAATTAAAATATTGTTTTACACTCGGACCACACAATTATAATGTACCTACCTACATAGTTGCACAACTCTGTTAATAAGTGCTTTATGCAATATTTGACACATCTCTAATACTTAAATAAGGTATATTTTATTAATACAGTAGAACTCCGATTATCCGAACGCCAATCAAACGGATGTCCAATTAACCGGACGAAAAAAAAAGGTCCTAAGCTAAAGATTATGTTATACTGTTATAGCTGGGAATGTTGGAACATAATAGTGAAGTACCCACTTACAACATGTTTGTATTTATTGATAATATTTACTTCAAAATAATCAAAATATGAGTATTTTATATTTTGGGGGTTCAAATTGTTAACTCGGTAGTGCAAAAGTCCCCTATGCACCCCCCAATGGTCAGTTGTTGTCTAATCTTCACACAGTTTAGTCTGTCAATTGATATATTAATATAACGAGTGAATTTTCGTGTTACAATGTCCCTAAATAACTTTTAAAATGTCATATGTCAATCATCCGGAGATTTGCTTAACCGGACCACCCTTGACATTAATTAGTCCGGATAATCGGAGTTCTACTGTAATTATCAAAATTAACGACTCAAAACTCAAAATTTTTTAAACAAAATTATATTTCGGTTTGTATTTAAAGCTAGGTAGTATTCCATTTAGACATTTAATATTAACAATTGAATTCACAAAAACATAATAATCATTTAGATACAATATAATTTATTATCCTTATTCCTAATGAGATTGTTTAGAACTTGTCGTGGGGACTATATTATATTAAGTGTAGTCATATTTGGGAACATTTAAAAGGAGCAAAATAGATAATACTGATCTAGTTATAAATGAAATACATTAGATATTTGGTATGTTATCACATGTTGAATTTGTTTCATTAGAACGCTGCTGCACCACAATATCTCTAACGAGGATTCCTTTTTATCGTTCATAATTTTCAAACGGTTCTGTCCACAAACATATCACAAAGTCCTCCGCACATATCATAATAATATGTTACACGACGACCATAGACTTTTCTTCCGTTCACTCGATGTATATGTCTTCCACTGGATACGCTGTCTCTATGTATTTTTGATAGAATCTTTGGAAAGCACGTCTAAGAAAACGAATAGGGTGTTATATTTGTATTATTTCTGAACGAATAAAATACATGTGAAATCCTTTACCCGATCGCTTCCGCCACTGGTCTCGACGATTCGTTTGCTTTAAACACGTGACACGCAAACCTCTGACATGTCGGATGTTTAGTAACGAACCCCATGTATCGGTTGTCATCCGGGTAGAACGCACAAAACGATACGTTCTTTAAAGAGTAAAAATAATCTTGACACGGTGTACTCGAATCTCTAGTCTGCTAAATTCAAAAGTATAATATATATATATAGGTATAATATTTTAGATAAGTATTCAAAAACAAAATAATCGCTGGTGGCTGCTGCAAACAATAGCACCACAGCAAATATAGGCATGTATTCAAATATTCAATTCAATTGTGGGGTAGGTTATATTAAAATATAATATAATAAAATTCAATCAAATAAAAGCATGTATAAGAAATGTACGACTAGGTAATATTATAGGTACGCCTTTGTAAAATATAGATGTTTTCCATTTTAGGTGTACCTATCACCGTCATCTATTACTTAGAAGGCTTGATAATTATTAATTACTAGTGTTGGGTATTTAAAGTTAGTCCATGCACTGTGTTGCGTGTGAACCTCTATGTACATAAGTAGTTACGTGTAAATAGTATAAACTAAACAGTGCAGCACTTACCATCGTTGAAGATTTGGCACGATCGACCATTCGAAGTCCTTGGTCTGACACCTCAAGTATGCACGATTGTGGTTTGCAATTGGGTCGTTCAGTAATCTTGCGTATGGCTTGACACAGTACAGAATTGCCTTTGTGCCACATTGTCTCCACCGAACCCATGTATCCCAAAAGAAACCGTTCTCGTTTCACCTTGGGAGTCGCAGAATCGAAATCCGTGTACTCAACGTCTACCGCGTATGCAGACGGAAACGCGCCTTGAGCTCCAGTGCGAAGGTTAACTCCTGAAAACACGTAAATGTGTATAGACAATAGTAGGTAAGTACCTATTATGTTATTGTAGTGGCGTTAAAATTGTCGTCAATATTCTAGTCTAAGGCAAACAGTAAATGTACCACAGAATAAGACAATGTACCTTCGCACCAACAGTCTTCGGCTTCCTTTTGCACGTAAATCGGATCACCGATATCCACTTCCATCTCGTCCCGGTGCCTAGGAACGAACTTGTACAGTCCTCTGTGCGTGGCCTCTAATAGCTCTAATTGAGATAATGGAAGACCCGATGAACACGAAGACGCTGGAGTCGGAGTGTCTGCGCATAAATAACAGACAAATTAAGGTTTCATTCCAATAAGTCGCGAGCGTAATAATATATATCATATATATGTCATTAATTTGGGATCGTTACCGATTTGTTGTGGTGAACTAGATTTGGCTCTCTCGGGTGAATGAACTAATGATATTCCCGAGTCTGGAGACCGACATTCAGAATCTCGCAGTCCCGATACGAACGATTTCCTTCTGTCCGACGAAAATACTTCTCCTAATTCGTCAGCCAAACTTAACACCGAACCAGCTTCGAATAGGTATTTATAAATTGTTCACATTAGTCAATTGATAATTTAATCGAATAACCAAATGCCCTTTCAATTGAAATCAATACATTATTAATTATTATTATTTATATTATCAATACCTAATATAGTTAGGTAAATCTAAACTTGTTTATATCGTGCTATAAAAATTAAAATGTATAACCATTAAGAAATAAGAGGACTCCACACCTGCTATGCAAACCTACACTTGTTGTACCTATACATTTTAAAATGATCATAACTTACCTACTTAAAAATAGTAATATCAATAAAATCCTCCGAGATGCCCTGGATAATAATCTTACCTTTAAATTTAATAATGGGTTAAAACACTCTAATTTTACAAATAACAGTAAAATGGATTACCTATTGTTAACGTAAAATTGTTGCTATAATATTATTATGTTGTAGGTTTGTAGGCGTAGACAACACGTGCAGGTGTGGTTTCCTCTTAATAGTTTTATTATATTACTAAAGTTTGAAAAACTATGTTGTATTTGGGTATTGATGACTTATTGTTTCCTTTAAATATGACATTTGGTTGCAATCAGAAATAAAAACAAATATTACTTTTATTTTTTGGTAATTCGGGTAATTTTCTCCTTCTTTTTTCATGCCTCAAGCGCACAATATGACTGTAATATTCAGATATGAATGTTAACCTTAATTATTTATGTATATTTACCTAAATATACACTGAAAATCATAATACAATATCTTACTTGTTCTTTGGCTCATTTTGATCGTCGTCTGAAATGGAAAAGACATTGAAAGCATTATTGGTGTCAACATTTTTGTTGATTGTAGCTTCAGTCGATGACTCTTCGTCTGATAATACATCGTGAACTAGACTAAACAGTTAAATATTATTATAAGTTGTAAAATAGACTGTACAATATATTTTAATTATAAAATAATTTTTCTAAATAAGCAGTAGATGCCAACTAATAATAAACAATAGGTATCCGTCTTACAAGTGCGTAACATAGTAAATTTTACACTTAGCAGATCACGTCAGTTTCACGGTAGATAATCTCCGTTAGCTTAAAAATTAGAGTGAATTGACTTCTTATAAAATTTAAAGGTAGGATTATTATTTAGGGCATCTCATAGGCTTTTTATTACATTTTAATTTTAAAAAGTATTTTAAGATGTACAAATAAATTACGGTTTTTAAATACTCATAATTCGCTCTAAAACTAAAATATAATAAAAACCCTATGAGATATCCTAGATAATAATCTTACCTTTACATTTTATAAGGAGTCAATTCACTCTTGTTTTTAAACTTTAACGGAGATAGATAACTAACGTGATCTGCTGAGCCTAAAATTTGCGATATGTTACGCGCTTTGTAAGACGGAGACAATAAATGTCCGTGTAACGTCTCCTTAACTAAATTATCAGTGCTAAATGTTTATACGATGGTTTTTGAAAATCTTATATTAAAGCTAACAACACAAAATTGGTTCTACTGAACCTAAATTTGGTATGTTGTACGTTTCCTGCAAGACGGAGACAACATAATATTATGCAAGTTTGAGTTATCTTAACACATTTTTTTAAGAGTGAAAATTTGATTTAGTCATATTGATCATTAATAGTACTTGGATTAAGTATTTACTATTTTTATACAATATGTATTATAGTATTTATTAATATAATACCTTTTTTTCTCGAAATTCGTTTTTTAGACCATCTGTTACATAATCGAACAATTAGCTTAACCCTTAAGATGATAATAAATAAAATAATAAAATACGAAATGGAATAACTACGGATTGAAGAAGCCTCCCAGGGAAAGAACTTAATAGTGGAATAGAATAATAATATTTTAGAATGATAAAAATACAAACTAATGGGTGCAACTGAAATATTGAATTTGTGAACTATCTATATACCTATACGCTTAAAAAAATACATATTTATTAAAATGGTGTATTATAAAATAATTCGATAACTGTATAAAATTTATACTTAATAAAAAAATATAGAAATTAGAAATAATCCGAAGAAAAAAAATGGTAGTTCCTGTAATGTTTTATAGATTTATGCTTTTAAAAATATCTATAATATTATAATAGTATAGGTTTATGTATGTAATAAATTCAATTATTTTTAATTTTTCTAGACAGTTAAGAAATAGTCAGAAAATTAAATTATTAAAGGTACGGAACCTAGTACCTAGTTATTTTTAATTTCAACAATATTTTGAACGTACCTAATAGTATTATACCGTACTATTAGTTGTCTAGTTATATCTGCTATACTTGGTGATTCATTTGACGTAGAACACTCATTATTTCAATTTTAAAATTTTTACATAATTTAAAGTTTTTGCGAACATTTTGGCTTATTGAATTGGAATTAAGATGAGTACAATTTTAAAATAGTTATTAAATAAAATTTGCGTTTATCTTATACGATTTGTAGTATATTAGTATTGTAAGTGTAAAGACCTTGAATGTTAAATAATATAATGGATAAGTTTAGTATCGAGTGTTGTGTCTACTGTCTAGCCACCTTTAAAAAGTATTGGTATACATTTTAGTGTTTAACAATTAAAACTATAAACATGTGAGTTGTAGGTAGGTAAAGATAATATATCAAATCTTTTATCTTTATACTTATCTAAATGCATTATATACAGCTTATGAAATAATATATTTTTTATATTAATATGACTTGTAATTTTTAACATCTGAGTTGATTTTTATGTGAAAACAAAGATTTTATTTACATTTCATGACTTCTACAGTCAAGAAAATTTAATTGCTGCTTGTCTTCAGAATATTTATCGTATGTAATATAATATATTAGGTACTCAAGTTCACACATAATATACGTCCTTGTATAAGCAGTTGTAACATACAACAGTAAGTTATCATCAATAGTAATAACTTCCTCATTAATTTATTGCACCTATTTTGTTGTTTACGTTTAATATTATGTTTAAAAATAATAAATATTAATAAGTAAATCTGTGGGAGAATAGGATTTTCAATTATCTTGACCTTCAAAAATGTATTCTGTTTTCTGCATATATACGTACATCGATTATTATATTATACAGGTAGTTAGTACCTAGTCTGCTACCAAGTTAATATAATCGAATTATTCATTATTAACACACTTACATACATTTTACAGCCAATCTTATTATATCGCGATTCTGCGCATCCCTACTAGACACCTTGCCTTTCGAGACAGGTTCTACTTTGGCAGGGTTTCGCGTGAGGACGCGCAGAAAAACCGCAGTCGGCTGCCGCGTAATCTCTCGCTGGATAGAGTATACCTACTTATTTTTTTCGTTTTAATTGTACACAATTAATAGGCACACAAGCCCATTATTGCCTACGATATGAAAATGTTTTATAACTATGTTTTTAAAGTTTAGATATTTTTGTTTTTTTCAAGGAATTATTAAAAAAAGAGTGGATTAAATTATCGAAATTTTAAAAATTCTTTTATAGCACAGAAGATATATACCTATATTTGTATTCTCCTCAATAAACTGTGATTTACAAAAATTCCAAGACCCTTTGGTTTTGATTCTCTTGAAAATGTTTTTGAAAAGAAAAAACATTTATAATGTATACCAGCCCCAAATTCAGAGCAGCCTTAAGGTACTTGATATATTTTCGTTTGTCTGAGTAGCGTCGCTACACTATCCATGCATTTGTTGTCTTACACAAGTACGATACTACCATATAGCAAATTCACGTGCACTGGTTTCAATAGTAACTTCAATAGTTGTGTGCTTACCTAAACGTTTGATAATAGGTCGATTTACTCTTATATCACAACTAACAGCACACTAAAGAAACAAGTTAACCAACATTTGAAAGTTTGTAAGACGGATACAATAAACGTCGTCTTAAGATACTTACCTGACTCGTTGATGTGTTTTTATTTTAGATATCCAGTTTTAGTAAAACAATATATGTGTGTCACATAATATGTTATTAAAAATGTATAAATATATATTGTGTAGATGAATATTAAATATTTAGGCTCGTTATATTACTCGCTCGCTCAAATATGAGCAAATAATAAACAAACTGTTGACTGATGGAATCCATTTATTTCTTTTTATAATTTACATTTTCCATCCCTCCACTTATTTTATAGAAATTAATACATCCCCCTTATAATTATTTACAATTAATATTATCGATTTATATTTGTGTTTGTCATAGGTACCATTTTTATTTTTACGATGGGTTTTTTAAAATTAGTTTTACAATAATATAATGAACTACCTATGTTTATTAATATTATAAATATTATTATTTGTTACTTTTTTGATAAGAAACAAGTACCTCTATTTGTTTACTCGTTTAAATTGGCAATAATATGACAAAATCTAATAAATCTAAACGTAATTTTTTACAATTGGGTGATGATAACAAGATAATATTTTGATTAATTTTACAAATGTTAATAAATACAATTTGTATTTAAATAAAAGTATAGCTTTTCTATTTTTTGTATAATGCATACCGTTAGTATTTATAAGTTGTATACATAAATGCTTTAAGCATAATTTATGTATTGTGTGTATCATACACATATAAATGTAATATTTATTCTGTTTTAAATTCAAAATATATTTAATTGTAATTTGCAGGTAGTTGGGTAGTTATACTTATACATGTGAAACATGTGAAATAAGACACCAAACTAAAAAAACATAAATGTATACAGTGTATACTATACATAAAATTGAATTATTAAAAAGGTCTTAAGTACAAGTGTTGAATATTTTTTAATTTTTTAAACGACAAAATAAGTACCTGCATTTTTAATTTCATTTTCTGAGAGTTTCAATAAATAGAAATAATAGAGCATTTTAGTTATAGTTATCTAAGTATTTAAAGTTTTAATGAGTCGATATAGCGGACGGTAATTGGACCAACAATTTGTGGCGTACGCATATCTATATGCATGCCATTCCACTCCGACTTCGCTCATCCATAGTCATCTGAGTATACTTTATATCCACATAACTTATTATAACTTACTAATCGTAAGAAATTCGATTTTTATATAATATAATCATTAGAAAAATAGTCTGCTTTTAAAAATGAAATGAATTAATTAAAAACGTTTCCTCTCATTCAGAAAAGTAAAAATAGTAAATTATATTATACATATTATTTAAATAATATTGTTTTGTAATGACTTCAAAGTTCAAACTATGTAGAAAAATCATTCATACTAATAGAGGATATTAGTATTTACGATTTACCTTTAAAAGGTAGGTTACATGATGAACCTCAGGTAACTTTATAAATCTATACTTATAAAATCCAAATACCACTCACTCACTGATCACTGTATCTCAAAAACTACTCAACGTACAGACTTGAAATTTGGAATAGGGGTTCTTCTCATATTTTCACCGTGCAATAAGAAAGGATTTTCAAAAATGTTGCGTTTTAGTGGAGTAATTAACAATTATAATTATTCACCGCCAATACGTATTGTGCGGCACGGCGGCCCGCGGGTTTCCAGCTACCTGCAACCTATCCTTTTTGTTCGTCGTCTAGAATAATTGTTATTGTTCCCAGAAGTTTATCGATAAAAATAATCTCATGCATCGCCCGTACACCAATTATAATGAACGATAACATAAACCAATACACATACAAATTCTATTTATTAGTTATTATCTCTCCATTGCCTTGCCACGGTGCCTATACATTAAACGATTAAACACGATCGTTTCATTTGCACTCCGCGTCTCCGCAGTCCGCACTACCAGCAGTTCAGACGTGCGTTACATAATTATAAAATATTTACGGTGTTGTGTTCGTCTGCGCGTTTGGAAATAAAATATTTACGGTGT